TCTTCATGCTTAGAATCCAAATCATTTATCTTATGTAACAAAACTACCTTATTACTTTTTTCAACTTCATCATCACGTGGAGAAAAATATTTTGTAACAACTAACCTACCATCATTAGGCTTGTATGAATAGCAACCTAGGCATTTTCCATTCTAGAGGAGAAACTTCAATATCTTTATCAATATATAAATTAATTTTTGCTCTCCATTTTCTTCATGCATATTAATAACCTTAAACACTTAGGCATCATCCATAATTTCATTTCCTCCATCATCTTTTATTATGAATCCATATGAGTCTACATAAGGGATAATTATTTTTTGTTCAGTTCAATTTTAAATTAACGAAACTATACATAGCAAAATTTATATTTTTTTTAAATTATAAACCGAACTTAACCAACTAATTAGTTCAAACCAACTAATTCGGTTAGGTTCAATTTGTTTTTCTCTCTTTCAAAACTGGTTGGACCTGTTTCCATTTAATTGTAATTTCCAAACTATAATAAAAGAATAATTTTCAATTGAAACTTCATGTAGAAGACCAATAGAAGAGGACAAAAGGGAACAAGAAAATGCTTTCCCTACCTTGAAAACCAAGTTGTTCTTCCTTTACGGGTCCAATGAACCAACAGTCTTTAAACAAAAAGCTAATGAGAAATTCAACATTAAACCAAGTTGTACAAACCAAAACATATTCTTGGGATAAAATACTCTTCTATCCATTAAATAATTTAAGAAACTCATTTGAAACCTATATCAATTTTCTTAGTGAATATAAGTAAGCAAGATAGCAAGTCAAAAAATACTTGGGTTTTCTCATCTTTAAGACTTGAACCGCACAGAACTAAGAAATCAAAGATAGAGAGAAAAGGAGGGAGAGGGGTTGGTGAGGGAAATGTGAGTAAAAGGGGAGAGGGGCTGGTGAGGGAAATATGAACAAACTAGAGAAAGAGAGACAAGAGGGGGGAGGGTGGTTGCGACTTACAGGAGAAAATAAAATTAGAGGAATAGGGTTTTAATGAATAAAATAAACCTTTTATACCTAGGTTAAAATTTGGGTTAAAACTTGAAATTAAATCGGTCCAGTTTAATCAGTTTTAGATTTTTAAAACTGAAACCAAACCAAACTAAATTTTTATTTTTGATTTTTTAATCAATTAATTCAATTTTTTTTTTTAGTTTGGTTTTCTCAGTTAATTGTTTTTTAGTTTTCTTAGTATAATTGGTTTTTAGATTTTTTTGAACACCCCCTTGTCTACATCAAACATATATATATTATTTTTTCTCTACAACAATTTTTTTTAACAAATATTGAACCGCTATGATGAGAAATTATATTAGGCATTTTTAATTACTTTTGCCATAGTAAAGTAGTAAATCATAATTAATAGAAGGTTCATTGCATTAATTCAATATTTTTTTTTATCAAAAACATCCAAATTACAGTTTTTACAATAATTTCATGTAAAGATAAATTGAGTGTTTTTAAGATTTGTACAAGAAAATTACCAAATATGTTCAATACTGGTTTAACATACTTTATACTAGTGTTTATTGCATATTAATCTAGTTTTTTAGAAATATTAATCACTTAGGATTTTTAAAGCCGTGAATAGTACAAAATCAAATTAAGGGGTTTTTATAGGTATTATTTTAAACATTAATAAAAGGTACTCAATAGTCAAATTGGATATTTTATGTTGATTGTGGTCTATTACAGAAAAACAAATAAGTTTTTTAAGGTCCTCTTCAGGATTGAAATTGAAAAGCAATGAAATTATTTTTTCTTAATGTAAACAAACAATAACAAATGAATAATCTAACTCATTATCATTGATTTCTAATTGTTGAATTGAAAACATATATTTTAAACATAATTTTTATACACTGATTTAGAGGAAAAAGTTATTTTAACTTAAACAACCCACAAGATCTTAGCATGCGGAGTATAAATCATTGCAAATAATTGTTAATTCTTTATTGTTTTTGTTCTTTGACTTGGGAGAAAGAGTTTTTAGTTTGTTATTTTCAATCCGAGAAAGAGGGGGAGAGAGAGAATTAAAATATTTGTATTTTGGGTTATAATATATATGATGGCATTTTAATTTTTACAATTGTTTTCTGAAATTTGTGTTCATAACGGTTGCAAAGCAAAATATAATTTTTTTAAACTCGACAACTGTAATTTGGTACAAATCATAGAATATTAAAGGTAATTTTCTCTTGATTCAAGGTCTTTTTTTTTCATAGTAAAATTAAAAAGTACTATTTTTTAAAGGTTGTGTTATCTATTTGTTATTATTTTAATTTGATCATGAAATAAAATTTAATTTTTATTCATGTATTTAATTTGAAACTTTTTAAATCCATCCCATGTTCTAATCTTGTATTTGTTAATCAAATTACACCTTTAAAAATTTATTTATTGCAGATATTACTTAAACATGTAAACATAACATAATGCCTTCAATTATTTTAAAATATTGAAGGAGAGGGTTATAGCATAAACTTTAAGAATAAGGGATGGAGTGAAAAATATTTAACAAATAAATAAATTACAGTTTATATATTATAATAAATTCAGAAAATAATTCTTCATGAGAATGCGGAAACTAAAAACAACAAATAATAGTAATATAATAAATATAGTTATAAAAGCATGGAAAGGGCGTGTTCTAAGTTCAAAAAAAGAAGAATACATTATATTTATTTATTTTCAAATAAATAACAATTTTTTCAAATCAAATTGCTGAAAATTTGACAAAATAAGAAATAATAAACAAAGATATTTTTTAATAAAAAGGTGTCCTAGCTCGCACGTTATCTCCATTTTCACATGCTCAAGCACGCCTAGGATCGTGTGTCCAAACGCTGCCCGAAGAGAATTTCAAAAAATAAAAACAAAACGAAGAGGCAAGTTGGCAATTTGTTATCGAACAATCTTTTTCACCAACTTCCCAACAATTGAAGAATTGTGAGTTGCCGATTTTTTTGCTCAAAAGCATATTTTTGATACATTTTTATATAATAATATCTTCTAATAATTATAAAACATGTCATAACACAACTATTTATTGCCTTCAAAATAAAATAATTCCATCGATACATTTGAATATAAAATTCAACAGATTTTTGCAAATAAACAATAGCTACTGAAAATTACCAAAAAAAGTAAAATAAAAAAATAAAAAAATTAGCATATACTCACAAAATCAATCAAAATAAGTTAAAAAATTAAAAAAAAAATTAGCATATACTCACAAAATCAACCTAGAAATTCTAAATCTTTAATTAAGTCATTTTCTAAATGTTGCATTAATGATAAACAAGTTGATTCTTATCATGTGTATACATTTATTTTCTTGTTGTTTTTCATAAACAAATAAATTGGAGTTGGAAAAATATATATGCCTATTAAGAGTGTGATGACATTCAGATCCATTTTAAATATGGACAAATAAAACAAGTACTTAATTAATCATTATCTTTCTCAATTTCAATGTTTATGTTTAAAAAGTAAGAATTGAGCTTGGTTACTGAGGCCATGTCTTAAATTACTATCCTATGTCTTAATAGTATCTTACCTTCAACAATGAATGCAGTTATACTAGTTTGGGTAAACTTTCAGCATTTATGTACATGTATTTTTATTATTAAAAACAAACATAAAATAGCTTACATTGATTGAATAAGATATATAATATAATTCTTATTTTCTTATTATATACTAACCTTCTACCTAGAAGTTATAAAAACTAATTATAATTTTTTAGTTATTATAAAATTAGATGGTAGCTTTTTTTCCTTCTAATTTTACCCGTATTGATCCTATTAGTTCATCGAGACACCCTTACATCACCAACTCATAAAACTATTTAATTAAGGATAGTCTGCATTGGTAAATGAACTATTTAATTAGTTTTGATAATATGAAAAATAATTAAATAATGTTAATAAATTAAATTGACTATATTTTAAAATTTAATCTCACCTTTCACTGGATATGAATTTTGATATTTGAAATGTAAATTTCAAATTGATAATCATTGTATCATCTGTTTAAAGAAAGTTATATTGTATCATCATGAAAAATAATATTAATAATTTTTGTAATGTAAAACATATTTGTGTTCATTGAACCACCAAAATACAAGAGTTTGATAAATAATGTCGAGTTCTTCGGCAATATACGCATCATTGCATTATCCAAGAATCTGATGATACACTTTGCATGTTTAATTTCAAGATTGTTCAATGCCCCGATGAACACTACTATGTAATAAAACAAGGTAAATGAAAGATGGTCGTTGCTTTTATACAATTATGTGCTGGTTATTACTATTTTATTTTATTTTTTCATTACAAATTACTTTATTCTTTAATAAACTTTACAAAAGCTTCAATTGACCATCATGAATTGAGTCATTTTATGTCTAAAATGTAGATATTACAATCAAAATATTATTTAAAAAAAAATTAAGCTGAAGTGAACCAAATCAAAATTAGTTAAAATTATTTAATTTTAATTAATTTATATAAAAAAATTAGTTCAAACCGACGAAGTATTTTATTCCGGTCAACAAACAAGTTCTTAGGCCCTTGCGGGTACAATGCTGGGAACTGCAGGATGAAGAAACAACATTATTGCCATGGCAGAGATAAATGGTAAATGGCAGGGAGAAAAGGCCGTGAACGCCTCAAAGGAGACAAGGGTATGCTACTGGCATGTCTATTTTTGTGTTTAAAAAATATTTTTTATTTTTATTTTAAATTGATATTTTTTATGTTTTTAAATTATTGTATTATATTAATATAAAAATTATTTTAAAAAATATTTTAACATATTTTTACTTGTAAAATAATTACAACATGCTTTCAAATACACTATATAATTATTATTATTTTTTAAAAGAAACAGCAAATCTAATGAAACGACAAAAAGAGAAGAACACAGCATGTGGAGCACACGTGTCTGTTCTGTGGACAGAAGCGTGCAAATGATAAAGGGAATCATGAGATAGTCTCTTTATAATTACAATCTGGGCATCTCTCTTGTAGCAGTGTCCATGGACTCCTAAAAGTGGGAAACAGAAAAATCACTTTCCATCACAGCCTGTAAATTGACAGAGTCATTCAGAGACAGACAGATTGAACAAAAAGAAACGTTGTTGCTCGAGCCAACGTTAATGGTTCGGTCCGGTTATTTTAGTTTCAGCCTTGTAAAACCGAAACGGAACCAAATCCAATGAGTTAATTCCTCATACCCTGTCGTCTTTCTCCTCCCTTCATCGTTTCTTCCCCATCTTTACGCACGAATGTGACAGACAAACAACCCATCTCTCTCCCTCACACTCCTTCTGGTCTGCACAATCAAACAAACACCACAGATCCCTTCACTCTTCTTACACTGCTACAACCTCTGCTTCAAAGGCGTCGTTGCAGACCCAGTGAACCAGCTGCCAAGCTTCCACTAGATACAGCTCACACCACTACCACCCTCACCGCTACAAAGAAATCAAGAGTGTCTTGTCTCCTTGCTAAGTGGAGGGGTACATGTTTGTTCGATCATGGCTATGTTTTTATGGTTTTCACTACAAGACATGACACCTGTTAGCTAAACACAGGTTAATAGTGTAGCATTACATGGTATAAAAAGAGGACCTGATTTTTATAAACGTCGAAATTTATTCGAGAACATCTCTTACCCTCTGAGTAGCAAACATGAAATTAAGGAATTAAAAGAAACCATTGTTGTTCGCAAGGTTAAAATCAGGCTGCTGCAGAGATCCGCCTCGAGTGTCGTTGTCTTCTGCCGTCGATTGGCTATATAGCTGCATGCCTGTGGTCCTATCTGAAAGAGGAAACAATAAAAAACGAAAATCGTCATGATCAGCGGATCATAATACATCTATGTGTGATATCGTAGCCATCAGGATGGCCAACTGTGATTTTTGTCCTCAGGTGAAACGCCGGCAAGCGAAGAAGTTGCAGGGTGTCTTGTCGCAGGAGGATGGCTTTAGCTGAGCTATCTTTACACCTGATACAAAGAGCAAACAGTACTCGCCATATGATATGATCATGGTTAGCTAGCGCCATCTCTCCTGCGACAAGAAACCCCCAAACCCTCTAATATTTTGTCTTGCTTTATTCTCCATGCCTTGCATTTATGCCTTCCACGCCCACTTTTTATAGCTTAGAAAGAGCCCGCCCTTGTCATAAATTTCATCAAATTTATTGAATTTTCTACGAGCCAGTATGTTAGAGGGGTCCTAAGCTTTGAGCACTCGAAGAAAAGTATAAGAAATTTCTTTGAAGTTCTTAACTTCACACCGCTCAACAAGCTCGAAAGTGATCACTAGTTTTGCATCACGTTATGCTGAACCCAATGAGTGTGGACAGTAGAAATAAGGGAGATATTGGACATCCAAGCATTATTACATATTACTAATAAACATTAAAATTATAATAAGGAGGTAATTTAATTGGCCAAATCTTAAATTTATTTTATAATTATCATAAGTTTAAGTTTTTTCGAGACTATTAAAAATTTTAAATTTTAAATTTATAAAATTAATTAAAATATATAAATACTAGTCTAAATAATCATGTTAATAAAAAAAAATAAACGTGAAAATTATGTTTTGGACATCTAAAACGAAGTCCACATCATGTTTGGTCAATGGTCATATGGGGTGTTCTACTTTAAGTTCAAAAGAATTACAAGCAAGGATTACGTTCGAATTGATTAAAAACTAGAGAGCCAGTAATGAGAAATTATATTATAATGTGAAAATAAAACAAAATAATATCGGATCATATAATAATAAGAAATACTTGAGGTGCAAGTATTTTTCTACGAGACAACTCTTGAATTAAAGATGAAATTAAAAAATCCTAGAACAAAAACTTGTATTCCAATGGAAAATTCTCACAAATTAAGGAGTGCCGATGTGCTACAGACACCAAGACCTAGTCAATGTCGATACGTTTCTGCTTCTGATTGCAAGTAATAATTAAATTAACAGCATTGGTAAGTAACTAACTAGTAGTTATATTACGAGTAACAGTACGGCTTCGGTTTCATAACAAAAGAAAGAAGACAGAACTGAAATGGTCCGTGTGTACCGGCAGATGTCGTTGTACAGTAGACCAGGCAAACGAGAGACCAACAATTATTGTGACTGGTTTCGTTTCGGTCGAGCCTTCCAAACCATTCCATTTCAAGGTCAATTCCATGCCATGATACAACGAAATTTCAATACAAATCCATGGACTGGTTAATTTCCTAGTCTCTTTTTCACAAATACTTTACCACAAAAATAAGCTAAAACGATTTGAAATTATTATTTATATAAAAAATAAATATTTATGCTTCAATAATAGAAAAACAATGGTTCTTCCCAACAAACTAAAGAGAAGAAGTCAACATCGTTCGAGTACAATTGAATCACTCACACTAAAAAAATCAATCCTGATTAAACAAGAATTTCCAATGCAATTTTATTTTTTAAAACACAAAAACAACTCACTAGTGTCATGTTGAATATAACAATATATGATTAATCAACAATTATAAAATACTTTTAAGTCTTTTTTTCTAAAGAAACTTCAAACTTATTTCATTTTTATCATAAGTTTTTACAAGAAATAACTTTTGAATTATATTATAAAGTTAAAAATATTTTTTCATAAACTATATCAAATGAATTTTAAATCAATTTCACCAATTCAATTTAAATGAATCTTATCTATTGTTTCAAATCCCCCTCCCAACCCCAGCATCGAGAGAGAACCAAAAAAAATTGATAAACTAAAGTGTTATTTCAAGACAAGGTGATAATGATCATCACAAAATCAAGATATAGCAACTCATTTAATAATTAATTATTAAATTAATAATTTTAAATTTTGATCTATAAAAAAAATATTTATCATATATTTAAGCATCTTAGTTTTTAGACTAAGATCATGTTCTTGCCAATAATTAATTATTAAATTAATAGTTTTAAATTTTGATCTATAAAAAAAAATATTTATCATATATTTAGGCATTTTAGTTTTTAGACTAAGATCATGTTCTTGCTCTTTCTTTTTATATTTTTGTAAAGTTTAAGTTTTGCTTTTATTAATTTCTTGTTTATGTTTTTCATTTCCTTTCCTTTATTTAGTTAACTTATATCTTATTTATGTTTTTATCTTATTTATTTATATTTCTCTTCTTTTATTATGTTTGATTAAGTTTATTATGTTAAGGTAAAAAAGTTACACTAATGGTGTAAGAATAAGTATAGTGTAAACTTAACATAGACTTTAATGTTTGATACTAACATGTTTTGTATTTCTTATCTTGTTCACTCTTAATACTTTGCTTGTTAAATGATTAATCTAGATTTGTATTGTATAATATTTGGTACAACAAATACTTGGCATTTTCATAACCTAACCATAAGGTATAATCGATACTTGTACTATGAAAGGAACTTGATTTGTTTGTTCATATAAGTTATAATCATAAATACTTAACAACATTTACAAGTATTAGCATTATTTGAATAAGATAACTAATGTAAACATGTTAACAATTTATAATCCGATTGGAACCTCTCTTATGTGTGGTTTCCAGTTGAGTAATAAAAAGAGTTTACATTATACTTGTTTGAAATACCATTAGTAAATCCTCTAATCTTGACATTTGTTTTTATCATTGTTTAATCCTCACATTAATCTTACAATCTCAAAGTCATTTTTAACTTTTTCTTCTTCTTATTGTTGTTGTTATTGTTGTTTATAATTTATATAATTAATCTTCTTGTGATTTGATCCCGGTCTTGTCGAGTTATTTATTACTTCAACACTTCTACACATGGGAGATGATATCAATCTTTTGGTTGTGTCAAATTCCAATACAAAAATTAACTTAAAGCAAGGATTTCCATTTATGCTTCTACTTTCTAACTCGAGGGTGCGATGTACCTAACAACATATTTATATAACATGTGAATATTTGGTAAAAACTAGAAAATTTACACTTATTAATAATACACAATTTAAATAAGGGCTACTTGAAGCATACACAATAATATACGCATTAACTCATCAAATGAAGTACTTGTCATCAATATATTAATTTAATCTAAATTTCATTTTTTTTTGTCAATCCTTTACTAGATATCTTCTTCATTTACCAGGATATGACTTTCTCAAGATGTTCATTAGTTAATACATTATATTTGAAGTTCAGGTAAGAAATAAAATGAAAAATAGTTTAACCAATATGCCCATTTCAACATGGCATTATTTTTATTAACTAAAAAATAATCTTTCAATTTAACCAATATGCCCATTTCAACATGGCATTATTTTTATTAACTAAAAAATAATCTTTCAACACGCCTATTTAACAGGGCATTATTTTCATTAACCAGGAAATAATCTTTCGGCACACTCATTTGGGAATTAATTCCATTCTTTTTATTTCACAATTTCTACATTAAAATTACAATCAAAAGAAATTTCTTCTAAAATACTAAATTAAACAATTAATTTATTATAGGGTATTTAACACCTTCCTGGTCTTTATGGGCGTGAAGTGGTTCTGTGTTGCTGATTAGGTCCTGCAACCTCTTTTGCATCAACATAAAAATCAAAATGTCAATTATTATTCATAACCAAATAATAAAAATCTTATTTCATTTTAAGTTAAGAAGAATAAAATTTCATTTTTAATCATTTATTGAAATTAACTTCCTAATTCTCTAACAATCCATCCCATTCATCTAAAATCACTCTTTTACATTAACAAAATCCAAGTCAAAATTCTTTTTTCTCATTTTTTATATGTCATGGCCAAAATTCATTCAAGGAATTAATATTTTATTTTTATAAAATCCTTCACCATTTTATTTATTAACATTTATAAGCCTATAAATTCCCACAATGCCTAAACAATTGTATTAAATTCTTCAATATCCCAAAACCTCTCCTTTTGTTGAGACCATTAACAAAAAAAAAAGGGAGGGGGGGGGGTTGGGGTTTGTTTCTTCCATTTCTAAATTAAACACTTACCCATTAATAATTTACACCTCTTAATATAGTTCAATCATAAATTGTATCATTTCAATTTTAACACCATAAATCTTCAAATTCACATAATTATAACAATTTAATTTCTTCATCAAAACACAAAATTATAACAATTAATCATTCTAAACATGTTCTTCAACTTACTTGGATAAAGATTTAAGGAATGGATGCAAGAAAATTCAAGTTTCTTTCTTCTTCTTTTTTTCTTTTTAAACCATAACTTTAGATTTCTTTCTTCAAAACAAGTTCCACTCACTAAATCACCCCTCTTAATTTTTTTTTCTAAATGTTAATCACTGTAATTACACTTCTTCTTCTTCTTCTTTTTCATATATAATTTGCAAGGAAGAAATCATATAAATACTTTCCCTTTCTTATGGCTTTTAGCCATTGGCCAAGCAAAGAAAAAAAATGGGCATTTATATAATCTTATTTTTTAAATTTGCACATTGAACCCTTTTATTTAGTATTTTTCAAATTTATTCCCATCCTTTCTTTTTCAATAAATTAATGCTTTATAACTTTATTTTGTTTAATTTTGCCCCTCCAAATTCTTACATATTGTTTATCTATCCATCTATCTATCTATCTATTATTATTATTGTTCGGGTTAGAATATAACTGGCTTTCACAATCCTATTTATCTATCCATCTATCTATCTATCTATCTATTATTATTATTGTTCGGGTTAGAATATAACTGGCTTTCACAATCATTGTCATCATCATTATCATTATCATCAAATCACATGCATCTATCTTTTTAATGAAAAAAATTTAATAATAAATAAAATATATTTTAAAATTAACAAAAAAAAATGTTAAAACACATAAATGTTGTTTTTTAAAATGTGCTTTGTAGAAGAAAAAAAACAAAATAAATCAAAATATAACTTTGCTAATAAATATTATGACGGAATTGTTCACCTATAAAAAATCTATTAATAATATTAAAAAAAGATAGAACGGTGAACTTCAACAAAATGAACTTTCTAATAAAAAAACTTTTTTCCCTTTCAAAATAGTATTAATCATATATTATGTCAAACTTGTTTAATTTTAAACCAAAAGAACAAATTTTTCTTACTTGTAGAATTTGTAAAAGAGCAAAACACTTATTCTTATATAAAAATAGAGTATGATTTATTTTTTTTAATTTAAAACCAAAAAAAAAAAAATCAAAGATGACATCCATGACTAGCATTCCTAAAATATGTTATTTTTAAAATAATTTTTAAACTGTTTTTTTTTTCTTTTAAATAAAAAGTCCACACCTT